GGTACACCATGCCAGTCAAAGCACCAAATCTAAGCCAGTGGGAAAACAGAAGCCAGCCAGGAAGACTGGCTTCCCTTGCGGACTTTGGGTTGAGTGCAGCGTGGACAGGAAACAGCTCACTGCCCTCACTGACTGGTTCTTGCTGTCACACCAGTGTTCCTTTTGGTGGCCGAGGCTGTGCTTGACCTCAGGAAGGAAACACTAGGCTTAGACACGGGACAAGTGAAGCTGGTTGTGGTGGCTAGCAGCAGAGCTAAGGCAGAGAGGCGATGATCCCCAAGGGTTGTGGGCAGCGCACACAAGCAGCACCCTCACCAGCATCGACAATACAGTGTAAGACATAGAAAGCAGAACTATCACTGGCTAGTCAAGGCCCAGGAGCTTCACCCAGCGGAGAAAGTCTGGGTGTTTACTCTGCGCCGCCAGAAACGCTGCTCTCTGGGACCATGAATGGATGGCACCCTACCTCGTGGTGGAAAGGCTGCCAGACGTGGTGTCTTGGGTGTGCACCAGAATACGGCACCCTAGTCCTCAGGACCCTCTAGAACAATAGCCCCAGGGCCCAAACCACGCTCCCCAGCTGCACAGAAAACTCCTCCAAGCTCCCCAACATCGTCAGAGCACTGCAGATGCCAGTAGCTTCGCAATCCCCTTAACACCCCTCAGTGACCCAGGGGGACCTCAACACCCAGACGGCCACAGTGGACAGCCCGGAGACCACGCCTGGGGGTTATGCTAGAAACCACCTTGGGCAGGGAGCCCTCAGGGAGGAGGTGATGGACTCCTGAACATTTCAAAGACTTTATCTGGTGGAACTGGTAAGAAGTGGGGTCACTGCCCTTGGACAAAGGGGGGCAACATGGCATCAGTCACACCTGGTTCTGTCTAGTTTAAATGCGTATTTAGGCTATTTAGTTCATAGGAAATATTAGCATTTGTTATGCTCAGTTTTGTAGGGACTCTTATTGTGAAGGGCAGGACTAGGAACTGGCTGGGGTATGTGTTGTTGTAATGCAGGGGTGCCCAAAATTTTTTTTAAAGAGGGCAAGAACGTATCATGTCAAAATATCTGAGTGCGGACACATTATTCACAAAGATTTTTTGTTTTTAATTACCATATAAAAGATCCGCAATGCTTCTTTTATTGTTTATTGTTGGATTGTTTAGAGCAATTTGGATCAGTAAGGCTCTTAAACTCTAGTTAACTTTGTTACCACAGTGCGATGCATTACACTGCTGTTTTACAATACTGCTGCCACCATCAGGTAAAAGGAAAAACTGCAGCGTATTGACTGACAGGTCACATTTTACATTTACATTTATGGCATTTGGCAGACGCTCTTATCCAGAGCGACTTGCAATTTAATCATTTTACACAGGGAGTATTAGGAGTCTTGCCCGAGGACTCTTATTGGTATAGTGTAGTGTGCTTACCCAGGTGGGGACTGAACCCCAGAAGACAGGAGCCTATAGTCTGTCTCTAGGACGCATTTGGGCCTGGGGCTCAACTTTATTCTGTTTATTCAGTATTCTGTTTGCTGTTCTGAGTTCTAAGTAAAGCCACATTATGGACAAGAACTTCGAGTTACCTATGTTTTTTTTTCTGAGAATCCCCCCTCACCTTACAATACTAAATAATAATAGAATTATTTTCTGTTCTGACTTCATACTTATACTCATGTATATGAACCACATTCAAACTCCAGCAAATGAAAACAGGGTAACAAATATATTAGTCATCATGATAAATTATGAGTTAGATAAAATTACTGAGTTAGAATCAGTCACAGTGATGATGACAGGAACCCGATGTCTGGAGAGTTTAATGCTTCTAAAAGCTCTCTCACAGAAAGCTACTGGCTGCCTGATGCACTGTTTCACGTTAGTCCTAAAATGTTTTTCATTTTAGAACTATCAGCTGTCAAACTCGTTGCTTAGCAACAAGTGATACAGTGACGGTGAAAAACCCATGATGTTATGGCGAAATAACAGCACGGTTAGAACGGTTCTCAACCAATCAGCTTGCGTGGCCGGAACTGACTGTTGTATAAGATAAGATTCCTAAATTAAGATCAGATTTGCTTCTGTAATACGAATTTGTGAAAAACCTTATCTTGACCTGTCAGATCTTAAGTTAAGACAAAAAGATAAGAATTTTCTGTAATACTGTAATATAGTTCCTATCACCACTGATAAGTTTCTCTACATTGAATCATTTCACATCTGAACAATTGAATTAGGGTAGAAATTTAGAAAAATCTGTGGAATTCCCCTAAAATGGAGGACTTCTGCTCTCATCTGTCTGCTTTATTTATTAATTTTGATATTTAATTAATTTGATAACAGAGCAAACAAAAACTGATACATTATGTAGTAGCCTATGATAAGCTAACGTTATGTGCTAATGTCCTCAGACAGGTTAAAATTAGGCTGAGTGGTGTTAAAAAACTCCTGGGTTGCTAGGTAGCTAATAAAAAATCGCCCCATTCTGGATTCCAAAGTATCCCTGGTGAAGAACAGTTATTCAGTATGTATTTTCACTGTAATGGTATTTGAAAATATATTTTAGACAAGTAACTTAAGTTAACAAGCTAGCTAGCTAGCGTTAGCTTCAGCTGTCTGAACAGCTAACGTTAGCTAGTTAGCTAATGTTTTTAGCTTACTCGTTTGCTAAAATAGCTCAATAAACTCACCTTTCTTGGAAAAGAGTTATAACCTGCACCCCTGCACTACTTCTAGCCTTCTTTTCCTTCTTTTTGGATGTGGATTTCAACTCTTTGGCTATTTTTTTTCCTCCCACATTTTGACTCTTCAAGTTCTGTTATCTGATAAACCTGCAGTTCAACGATAATGCAGCAGTGGACTGAACCATCTTTTGAAGGGGAGAAGGGAATCTACAATTTAAACTTTTAATAAACGTTGCATGATTTGTGGTCTGTTATTTTAACTTGAAACATAATATTCTGTTTTATATTTTATCTATAGCATACTTCAAATTTGTTCAATACAACTTTGTGGAATTTTTGTGAGCTGTGGGCTCCTAGATTCGCCACTACCAACCCAATAGCAACTTCCCTGATGCACAACACAACCACAAATATTTATTTTCTTACCTTACATTTCTGTTTAATTAATTAGTGTTTCCACATCAGAAGAAAGCAAATCGCTATGGAATTTTATATGACAATTGTCACTATAACATATTAACAGTGCTAATATACAGAAAAAGAAAAAAATAATTGGAATTTTAAAATATTTGCTTGTTTCAATACACATACACTAACCAGGCATAACATTATGACCACCTACTTGTTTCTACGCTCATTGTCCATTTTATCAGCTCCACTTACTATATAGGTGCACTTTGTAGTTCTACAGTTACAGACTGTAGTCCATCTGTTTCTCTGATACTTTGTTAGCCCCCTTTTACCCTGTTCTTCAGTGGTCAGGACCCTCATGGACCCTCACAGAGCAGGTACTATTTGGGTGGTGGATCATTCTCAGCACTGCAGTAACACTGATGTGGTGGTGACGTGTTAGTGTGTGTTGCGCTGGTGCGAGTGGATCAGACACAGCAGTGCTGCTGGAGTTTTTAAACACCTCAGTGTCACTGCTGGACTGAGAATAGTCCACCAACCAAAATATCCAGCCAACAGCGTCCTGTGGGCAGCATCCTGTGACCACTGATGAAGGACTAGAGGATGACCAACACAAACTGTGCAGCAGCAGATGAGCTATCGTCTCTGACTTTACATCTACAAGGTGGACTGACAAGGTAGGAGTGTCTAATAGAGTGGACAGTGAGTGGACACAGTGTTTAAAAACTCCAGCAACACTGCTGTGCCTGATCCACTCGTACCAGCACAACACACACTAACACACCACCACCACCACATCAGTGTTACTGCAGTGCTGAGAATGATCACTTCACTGATCACTGAAGAACAGGGTAAAAGGGGGCTAATGAAGTATGCAGAGAAACAGATGGACTACAGTCTGTAATTGTAGAACTACAAAGTGCACCTATATAGTAAGTGGAGCTGATAAAATGGACAATGAGCGTAGAAACAAGTAGGTGGTCAAAATGTTATGCTGTGTATTTGTGGAAATTGCTCGGGCTGAATGTAAAATGGCCCCATACTACCTATTTAAAGTGCACTGCATAAATTTTGAATGGCTTCTGCAGCCAAATAGTGTATTAAATGTCCATTTGGGGTTCAGCCACAGGCTGCATGCATCCCTACTGAACACTGATTGTAAAAGCCATGCTTTTGTGACCTACAGTCATATGTAAATGTTTGAGTACCCCAGTCAAATCATGTTTTGGTGATTTTCTAAGTGGAAATAAGTTAACACATCATCTACAGGAAATGACTTTAATTATTTTTAAGATATTTTTAATTATTTTTGTGCAAATGTCTTTTTTTCAACGTTAATTGCAGCAAACAGTGATTGTGCATTATAATGTGTGGAAGTGCGTTCTCTGTAAAGGATGTATTAACTTATTTACACTTATATGACTGCATATAGTGCCCTGTTACTTCCTCTTGTGTCCCTGGGGTATTACGTCAAGATTGTGAAAAACAGAAGCTCCCTATGGAGATCTTGCCTGTTCACCAATCAACCATCTCTAATCAATGACACTCTCACAGTATATAAGAGCTAGTATGGATCTGTGCTAAGAGGTTAGGCTGTTGAATCAAAGGTGAGTCTACCACACAGAAAATAAACTTTTATTCACTTTCAAATTTTCTTAAAATAGATAAATATATAGTATGTACTATTACAGCTATATTGAGATAATGTATGTATTAATGGAAGCTTTTTGAGACCACCAGATTAGATTATTCTATGCATGTTTAAACTGTTTGTTTTTTTAGTGATTTGACTGACAAATTGCGTGCATGGCAATTTGTAATATTTTATTATTATCTTTACAGCACTGAAAACGTGTTTATCACACTACTGTTTACAGCTTTCCGTGCTTTCAGTTTCAGACCATGAACATCTCTGCTGCATCTGTATATGAAAACTCCAGCCTGCCTCTTCAGAATGCCACACCGCGAGACAGCTTCAGCGCCGCTCTCACCAAAAACATCGTGGCCATGCTGGTGTGGCTGGCCCTCAGCATCATCAACGGCAGCATGGTGTCCACTTTCTTCAGACACAGCTTCTTCTATGAGGACCCACGATACATCATGTTTATTTACATGGTTATTAATGATGCTGTCCAGCTCACGCTGGTCACTGGTTTATATGTGGTGAGTGTCCAGTGCAGACACTAAGAGCTGATTGATCAGAGTGTGGATTGGGGTAGATATGTTGAGTTATTGTCGTGATTATGATCATAATTGAAGTCTGGAGAGAAACAAAATGTACCTGTTTTGTCTATAATGGCAAAATGTCATACTGTACGTAGTCTTATGTAAAAGTGTGGACGCTCCAGGTCAAATGACATGTTTTGTTGATTTTCTAAGTGAAAATAAGGTAACACATCCTCTACAGAGGACAAACCTCTGCACATTTTCATTTTTGGACAGTCACTGTTTATTTGCTAAATTTAATATAATGGAAAAAGAATAAAACATAAAACAAGGCCTGTGCAAAAGTTATGGCACATTTTATATTTTATGTTGTATTTTTTCCAAGATGTTAAATTCAAATAAGCAAATAAACATTGTGCACTAAAGTCTGCAGAGAAATGCCATGTTAAAGTTTGTCCTCTGCAGGGGATGTGTTAACTTATTTTCACTCAGAGGATCAACATTTAAAAAACATTTAACAAGCCTTATTCTGAGGAAAAAATATATGAAAGAGGTGAACATAGAATAAATTTTTTGTCAGGGCTCTGTTTACTTCAGGCATTGTAGCATCAACTTTATTGCCTTGGCCTGGCATGTTTTTTGTTTTTTTGTTTTTTTTTTGATGTTATGAACGTCATGTGAAATCATGCCTTATGTTCTCAAGCAAAGCGTTTCAAGAGGAATTCCACAGAATTTTCAAGATTTCTGTGTAATTAAATAGTTAAGTTGTAAACAGAGTTTTTCAGAGTGGTTTGGTGTGAAATGCTCAGTTCTAGAGAAACCTACAGAGTCAGAATTGTTCACAGTCGTGCCGATAGGAACCAGGAATCTGAAGAGTTTAACATCTCTAAAAAGCTTCCTGACTGACAGTTATTCCAAAATGTTTATGAATATGCTGCCTGATGCCTCAGATATTGTTGTACAATGGTTTTAAGAGGGTTCTGGCCTAAAAACAGATTCATGGTGGAGGGTACACTTAGGGTGTTCTGAGGCAAAATAGTCACAGAAAACATTTCAGATTTTTCACTATTTTACTTCCATCAATATTCCATATAAAAACTCAGAAGACACGTGTAGGTTTAATGGAGATTTTGGATAGTAAAAAAATGGCTAAATTTGTGCTGTAGAGATGGTGACCCCTGGTTCCTATCACCACCACTGTAAAGAAATCTCAACCATTTCACATCAAACCACTCTGAATGACTTCTCAAGGACTGAATTATGCAGAAATTTTGAAAGATTTCCCCCCTTTAACCCCAAAACTGTGTAGCTATAAATGTGTTTTTTTTTTTCTTAAAAATCACACAATCAAATGAAGCAGAACTTCTTTTCCTAGAACTCTTTTTAGTCTTTGATCTGTTCTCAGAAAAAACTCTTTTCAGTCTGTAGGTTGCAATTCAACTGTGTTGATTTGGGAGTATTACATGTAAAAAAAACATTTAAGTATTAATAATTGTATTAATGCTAAACTATGATATGAAAAATATGCACTCATATTTTAGCCAAAATAATTTTTTTTCTATTTTCAAACTGTAAAAAAAGTAAAAATAGCTATAATCTGTTTTGCACTGTGTAAATAGTCTCTCCAGTCACATTTATGTATTCTGTGTATCTTTAATTAATGGTTAAATTAAATTATGGGGAAGTTTGAGATTTCATCATGCAGGGAACCCTTTTCTAACGGGTTTCTATAATGTTGTTGTGTGGTCAGAGATGTATACTAAAGAATTCCTTATACTTATATGTATGCCTTTGGCCACCAACCCTCATTCTGAAGATCTACTTTCCTGCAGAATTCGGTTCCATCCTGGATATAATATCCTGCCCCCATTCTAGAAGTTATGCAGCCAATCAAAGGCTGTGACCAAACCACACACTACCATACTAAATAGTATGTCAAAATAGTACATCACCAAAAGTATTGCATTTCAAAATGTAATATTCATAATATGAATATATGAGATCTTGGGCGCAGCCAAAAAGTTCATTAGCTGGACTTTTCAAGAAAGTAGATCTCCAGGACCAGTCAATACAAATGCCGTTGACTGTCTCTCAACGGTCTGTCCTTGTTCTCCTCTAGGTGAGCTATGCATTCTCTAAAATCCTGGCCTCCGCCTGTTGCCTGCTCATCATGACGGCTGTGCTGACCACCCGTTCCACCCCCCTCATCCTTGCTGGCATGGCCATTGAGCGCTATGTCTCCATCTGTTTCCCCCTCCACTATGGCCACATGTGCACCGTCCAGCGCACCATCTGGCTGGTTGGGGTCATTCTGGTCCTGAGTGCCACACCCCCCTTCACGGACCTCTTCATAACTCTGGCCAAAGAGCCTGCGTCCTTCTTCCAGACATCCATTTTCTGCGACCACTCGCTGCTCTTCCGAGACCGCTCCATCTACTACAAAAACTGTGCCTTTGACAGCATCTACTTCTCCTTCGTTTTCCTGGTGCTGCTCTACACGTATTGCAAGATCATGCTGACGGCGCGGGCAGCCTCCACAGACCTGGTGTCTGTGAAAAAAGCCCGCAACACAGTGCTGCTCCATGGTGTGCAGCTGCTGCTCTGCATGCTGGCTTTTGTGGTGCCCTCCATGCAGGCACCGCTCATCCAGCTCTTCCCGCAGTACAGCTTGGAGATCCGCTATGTCAACTTCCTGCTCGTATACATCATCCCCCGCTTTCTGAGCCCTATGATCTATGGGTTCAGAGATGAGAAGTTTAGAAAGTACTGGATCAAATACCTCATCCACAGGGTCGGGAGAGTGAAGCCGAGTGAGCACTTACCACAGAAGCCAAAATGAAGGTCAAGAGCAACACCTTGGAAAAATGTATGTCATGTACAGTATATCATTATGAACTAATCTCATTCGCACAATTACAGTGCTGTGCAAAGGTCTTGAAAATTGGACAGTAAATTATATTTAAAGCTATTTATTGGACAGCAATTTCTGCTTGCTTGGGAAAACAACTTACATGATCATAAATACAAAATATTAACCATTTCCAAAACATCCCTCAAAACAAGCCAGTATTTGTAGTTACCAGCTAATTAAAACTTCATTAAAGGAGAATGCCACTATTTAAAAAAAAGTTAAGTTTTGGTCTTTTTATGCATTCATGGAGAGAAGTAACTTATATGCAGGTTATAAGGCAAAATAGTCCCCAAAGAAAACTTATTTTTTCAGATTTTCTACTATTTCCCCATCATCAACATCACATATAAAAACTCAGAAGTCAAGTGTAAGTCCACTGGTGGTTTTTGATAATACATTAAATGTCTATATTTGTATTGTAGACATAGTGACCCCTGGTTCCTATCACCACCACTGTGAAGAAATCTGAGTGTCTACAAAGAACCATTTTACATACACAGATGTTTTGACAAATCAGTGGAATTTCTCTTTAAAAAAGGTTGAAATGTAACACATTCATATAATGGCTGGGAACCAAGCTTAACCTAACCGTCTTACAAAACATCAGTACTGTTTTTCAAAAGTAAAAAAATGTTTCTTTTTATGAATGTTTATTGGTATCTATTAATGACATATAGTGTGTTTACAGGCAGAACCATACCCACTGCCCACATAAAATCAGTTCAAACTATTCTCCTGGCTGGCCTAAGACTGGCTTGGTTTGACTGCACAATGCAGTAAGGAACATATTAAAGACTCAGGAAGTAAGGCTCACTGCATGTAATTTCATACATGCAATATTGTGCTTTGATATAATTTTTGTAAGACTGTTTATATTTTTATCCTCATGTTTTAAATAAAAAAAGACCTGGTCTACTTTGTACAGACCTTTATGCATTTTGTAAGCATCTGTTCCCTCAGTTGAGTGTCATCAGAATTCATATCATATGTCATAAAAACCATAGAACACATGAATCAGCATATGATAATTGTCCATCATATAAATGCATGAACTGTCATATACAAATCATCGTATAAACACATATAAACTACCATATGATCATGATGACCATCATTCTTCATGATTTAAATCATTCAATATGGAATGAAGCTGTGGAGAATTTTGCTAAGACCATTGTAAAGTTAACTGTGAACTATAATTATATGCTTTGTTGTCAAATACGTGTGTATTTTTGAAAATGTGCCGCATTTGTCAGAACAACAACAACAACAACAACAACAATACTATTAAAAGGATTAGTTGGCTCTGCACAGCACTATGGCTAGGTGTCAGTAAAGTTGCCAAAATTATTTGCATTTCTTAGTCTTAGTCTAAAGTTCCAGTACTCTCTCTCACACATGCACATTTATCATACACTTTTGTGCATGTTAGATAATTAAGCTTTTTAGCCTAGTTCTAGTTCTAGTTTCCACTACTTGTACTTATTAATGATAAGCAAAATCATGTTGCACATTATGTCAGAGTTGGATAGTCAGAAGGTGACGATTATGTGTGGTATATGTTTGTAATGCATTAGAGTCAGCCTGAGTCATTGTATAGAACCATTACATTTTTGGAAAACATCATTAGGCGATTTAAATATGCAACATTCCATAATTTCATAAAAAAGTCTCATTAGCTGCAATTGTAGAGGATGAATCAGGCCATTATTAAAGTCACTATGGAATCAAACCTGACCTTTTTTATCATTTATCAGGATCCCGAACGGACCATCTCGCTCCACCATTCTGAGCACCAGAGCCCCCCAGGTGTCCTCTGCAGTGCATCCTGCTCACCTACGACTGCACTGCCAAACTTCACAGCAACCACATCAAGTTTGCTGACGACACTACAATCATAAGGCTCATCTCTAACACCGATAGAAAGAGAGAAAGTGAGGCAGTGGGTTGTGGTATACAGATAACAATCTCTAAATAACATCACTCACAACATCTAGTCCCTGAACACCTTCTCCTTCATGAAGAAGACACAACAGTGCCTCAACTTCATAGGAAGGCTGAGGAGGTCCGGGCTGCGCACACCCATCTTCAACTGCTTCTACAAAAGCATCATAGAGAGCATCTGACCTGCAGTATCTCTGTCTGGTATGGAAACTTCTCCGTCTCAGACAGGAAAGCAGTGCAGTGGGCACCAAATGTTGTAACATATTTGAAATCACTGGAAAAATCTGAGAAAAACAACACAGTTTTTACCGTTTGACTCAAATAATTCACAAAACACTGCCTTTAAAATGTCTTTGACTTAAGTATTCCCATGTAAAAACATTTACTACTTATTTACATGTACACTTAATTTATTTCTCTTTCTGTAGGTTAGCACTGTTTGCACGTTCTAACAGCAGATGATGCAGGTGGTGACTATTAGGACCCTGAGCTGGAAGAAGGCCCACAAAAATTAATTTAACAAGTCATTAAGCAGTGCTGTTTGTAATGAGATAAAGCCATAACTAATCCAACAAAGGCAATGATGCGCACGTTTTTTGATCACTTTTTCAGTCTCATCTTTAAAGTGTACAAGCGGATATAATTGAGGGAACTGCCTTGATTTTATTTTATTTGACGCTATAGTGATAACAAATGAATGCTAAAATCTAAATGGCCGAGATTTCGAAGTGTTATTAGTGTTCCGTCCCAAACCGCATACTAGCACACTAAATAGTGTGTAAAAATAGTGCCGAAACCATTAGAAGTGCGCTCATTAGTGTAGTAGGTGAAGTACAGAAGTGTGTGGTTTGGGACGCGGCGTTAGATCAGCCCGCGAGACGCCGTTCAGCTGCTCGTTACACATTTCCAAGCAAAAGTTTGGGGTATTTGTTGATTACGGATGCATTTATTGAGGTAAGCTGGTGTTTACTTCGTATTTGCCAATTTTCGTTATTCGTTCTACTTTTAAGGTAACTCCAGCGCCATTTAAGGTGGAACGGAAAATTCAAATGAGCTTATATTTGTGCTTATATACGAGTTTACCATTTAAGAGCTTTTAGCTTTTGTAAAATCTCACAGATTGGTGAAGGAAGCTAGGAGCAGTTCAGAGGTGTAGGTTATAATGTTTCTCAGAAAGATGAGTTTATCGCGCTGCTTTAGAAGATAAGTAAGCTAAGCTAGTTAGCGTTAGCTAAAAACATTTGCTAGCTATGCTAACGTTTACTAGCTCTTTTCTAAACGTAGCCCGCTTAGCTACATTTTGTAAGGGGAAACTTCAGCAGTGAAGCTAAGTGTATGTACTGTAATTTGTCTACTAAAGAATAGTTACGATTTATTTTTGTATTCAGACTTATTGAATTGTTTTTGCAAGCGCCTGCAAAATCCAGTCAGCCAGCTTTACTGCCACTAGATAACGCCAGAGAACCTGTAGTGAGGAGAATTGCCACTCACTGATGTCTAACGGGTATCTAGAGGGCGCTCCCGAGCAATCCAAAATGAATGGGTTAAGATGGAGCATTTGAGCAAAAAAAGTTTATAAATGCTTAAACGTTTTAAATGTAAAAGAATACATTCATTTCCTGAACACAGAACAGCGTAAAACATTTTAACACTGCTGTTATATTTAAGAGCTTTTGAACGTGAGTTATAGAAGTAGCGGTAACGCTAACCAGTCAGCACTCAGTAGCAGTAATGTTAGCTTCCTGCCGCCCTAAACTTGTTTGCTGTAGAAAAGAGGAAGACCTGTAGAGGAAGCATACAGGTAAGTTTTCTTTGATTTTTAGTGAAATGCATCTTTCTACTTTTTAAAATTAAAGGAGAACCTTTGGGCAAGTGAATAGAAACTATTTTAACCTTTCATTTTTAACCATTTAAGCTCTGTTCACCCCATTCATTGAGGACTTGCTCACAGGTGTTTCACAGTCATGTTCTGATATAAAAAGGGAAATAGGAAGAGGCCAGACTCCTCATAAACTGGCTCTGGTAACATTAGCCAGCTAATGGTGCTCCTACTCATAGATATACATACCTAGTTATCTGTTGTTCTCTATCTGAGGCGATACGTTTGCGCGTCCGCCATGTTGGAGTGGTCAGGATCCGCTTGTGAACAAATTCACTTGTATTGAGAGATGATGAGTCTCAGGATTAAATCGGCCACAACTTCCTTATTACTCAACCGTTTTTCACCAAATTTGTTTTCGTATAATCCTCAGACATAGATTAATCGAGGTTGCATGGACTGCTTTCGGTAGCTTTTATTTCTTTAATAACTGATAGTGATAATTAACTGCCCGGGCCAGCAGGAAAGTATTCAGTTTGCACCTGAATCTAAAACAGAGTTTAACGGTAGAGTTTCCAGTAGAAACATAATCTCACACACATCAGTAACCCCATCAATGTGTGAATCACTTCTAATCTTAATACACATAAAAATAACGTAATCCTCCAAAACACAGTAAGAAGGATAGAGCTAAAGTTAGCTTCCTATTGCCAGTTTCTTGTTATGAGTTTTTTCCTGTTCCACCTTAAATGGTGCAGCAGTCACTTTCTGGAGCCTGACGCTGCACCATTTAAGGTGGAACAGGAAAATCTGACAAAGAAGCTGACTTCAGGTTGGTGTAAGAAGGTGCTAACGTTATTCTATTATGAATATTTACACAGATTAACGAATGCTACAACTTACCGTGCTACAAACCATTAACCAACATAAAGTATAAAAGTACTTAAAATCTCCTGAATAGACTATTATAGAATATTAAATGAAATAAGCTTAATATAAAAACAGAGGAAAAAATATCACATCAACAGGTTCTCTGTGCTTCACCAACTACATGGCCTTATCTTCATATAAACATCACACAAACAATACACATCACACAGACATGAACGTGGATCGCTGTGTCCCCTCCATTATATAATCCTATCCCACTTTCTGAGAGCAATATTCTTGAAATAGTGTAATTTTGGACAGTATCTTTCTTAAATTGCCACTCTGTAATGGTATTGAATGCAGTCCAACAGCGATGTTGACCGCACTAAAATGGTGGCGCCATTACGTGCCTGTCTGGACCCAACGCATCTAGGTATGTATATCTATGCTGCTACCGTTAGCTAGGTAGCTAACTTTTGCTCTTTTTTGGCTACAGTTTGACAGGAGGTCTTGTATCTGACAAAAGGAAATATCATACAGTGTCCTACATGTGTCCCTCAGTCTTTCTCATTTGAGGAGGTGAAGAAAGGAGAGAAGGCAGGTAAGCTGCAGTTTTGAATGCTTTCATTATGATAAAGTGTAGTGGGTAACAGGGCATCTGTGACTCTGTGTGAACCAGCCCGGCAAGGGGGGCCACCACCCTCAAAATCATAGTTAAAGAAGATAGTTAAAGAAATCAGATTTTGCCTAATTTGTTACGTGTCCAATCAATAGGTTTGTAGAAGGGAAATAGAAAGAAATCTCCAAGGCAAGTGGTCACTCGGGCTACAGGCTCTGCATGTGGCCAAGGGTCGCCAAGCAACAGGTAATACGTAATGTCTAATGTCAGGTTGTGATTACATTGTTTATAGGGGTTATTTTACATTCAGTGATCTGCTGAAATCAATCCCATGCCAACCATCTAGCCCCTCCCCTCCCCTCTCACAACTACCCCCCTCAAAAAACATTCACTCATATCACTCGCTTAAACTATATAAACCTCTCAGTTAAGCTCTATAGCGAGTTACTTTGCCAGCTAACTGCACAAAGAAGCCAGGTTTTATTTATATTTATCTGAGTATAAAAAACCTCAAGAAAAATACTGCTTCCTTTTCCAAAGTTTTTTTTTTTCTCCTGAAGTGTTGCTACAATGAACTCCTCAATCCTTCAACTCGGCGGTCCAGGTTTTGAGGAATTTGTCATCAGAAATTGTGTCATCGTCCTTTTTGGGTTCACCATCATCTGCATCAATGGAACATTTATTTTTACATTCTTCAAGAGTCCAGTTTTTTATCGAGATCCAAGATATATTTTGTATGTACACTTGATTGTGAATGATATGCTTATGGTTGGTGTCACAGTGACACTATATGTAATGTCATTTGCATGTCAAAATGTAAACATCTTATTCTGTTGTATACTACTTATCATAGCCTCAACAACTCACAAGAACACTCCATTGAACTTGGCCGGCATGGCAGTAGAGCGCTACATTGCCATCTGCAAACCTCTTCATCACCCTCACATCTGCACAGTGCACAGAACCTACATCCTTATCTGTCTGATATGGGGAGTTGGATGTATCCCTGGACTGGTAGACTTGGTTATTGCCATTATCATTCGCCCTTTTTCCATTTTTAACACTGTTACTTACTGTGCTTCAGCATTTCTCTACAGCTCTGTTTACCATGAGGATAAGAACAAAGCTGTACAGGGCATTTATATGTCGTTTGTATGGGTAATTATTGTTTTCACGTATTGCAGGGTGCTGCTCACAGCTAGAAAGATGTCACCTGACAAAGTGTCTGCTAAAAAAGCTCAGAGCACAATCATGTTGCATGCAGTGCAGCTATTGCTTTGTATGTTGTCCTACGCCACTCCTGTGCTGGACATAATTCTTGTCCTTATTTTGCCTGCTCATCGAAAAAATATTATTTTCTTCAATTACTTGCTAACAAACATTCTCCCACGGCTGCTGAGCCCCCTAATATATGGCGTTCGAGATCAGGTGTTCGTCAAACACATGAGAAAATATTTCTTAAGAAGAATTTTAATTGTAAAAATTGAATCAGGCAAGTAAGAACAGCAATAAGATGATGATCCTAAGATGAATTATGAAATGCGCACCAATGCTGCATATTCTGTTGCAGTATGTCTCTGTCTGGGGGAATTTTAAATAAATGCAGTGCATGTTTTCGCTCAAATGCATTGTTGATCATTATTTTTTTATTTCATTAAGTGTCTCCCCATAATTGCTGGTACCTCAGAATACTGATCTGAGTGTTATGACATCATAAAATATTATATGCAGAAGTTTGAACAACCCTAGATAGGGTATTTTTCTGCAATTTGTAGTGCATTTTTTTCTATTTATTTGCTGAAATTAACACACAATATTAAGAGTAGCATAACTTTTATACAGGCCACATTTTACACTATACTCCCCCCAACATATTGAACTCACCACATAAACAGTAATTATGCATTTAAATGTGCAGAAGTTTGTTCTCTGTAGAGGATGTGCTATTTTCGTTTAGAAAACCAACAAAACATGAAATTTATGAGAACTATTTAAGGGCACAAAATGCAAAGTTGACAGAATTATGACTAATTCTATTTACATACACAGCTAAACATTGCTCTATATGTGTACTGCATGTATAAATAATACATGTATAACATTATAAATTATACTTACAGTTTACCATCATATTTCTTTCCTGAAGTAAAAAAATGTAGCAGTCTTTTGCTGTGGATGTCATAGACAAACATTTAACAAAAATGATTCAAAATCTGTTAATGTACAATATTACTTTGAGTAAGTGATATAAAAGTACATCAGTAAAGGACTCTATAAAATGCTTATGGTGGGTCTGCAGTGCAGTATAGAATAAACTCCAAATATCAGACAGTAATGGTAAAGAACATTTCAAAGGAAACAACTTAGCCTAATTTACATTCAAAAGAGAATTCCACTAATTCCCTACTAAATCTCCTACTCAAGAAATGGTCTGATTTTGAAGGACCTTGCTTTATCATGCTGAAACAGGAATAGGCCCTCTGTCATTGAACCAGGTCCTCACATGATTATAGATTGGAAAAAATGTATGAATCTTTTGTTTTGCATTAACTTATGCCTTTCTACATTTGTTTGCCTATCACACACCACTGACATATTTTCACTTGCTTATTTTAAATTGGAAAACTCATATGCTCATTCCGCCTTCTAGTGTCTTATGTCACCCTAAAACCTGAATTATAATTGGATACTACAGGAGTTTGTTTTTTTAGGTTATTTAAGGTGTTAAAGCTCCTCCTTATTATACTTGTATAATTTGATTAATATTCTCTGCCATAATCATGAAACGTGAAGAAAATGTCATAATTCTATTGCCCAGGCCTAAAATACATATATGTTTACACTGCACCCAACACCAAGAAAGAGTGAAAGACCCTCTTTGCCCCTTAAAATCTCTGTGCATCTTCCTGGGAGTATGTTTTATTGTGTCATAATGAAGTCAAAATGTCAGTTAGTTCTAATGTTATACTATTTTTCTTAGCATTGCTCCCTAAATATAAAACCATATTCATGTATGTTATCTATCTACTTGCTCCAGTTTCCTCCCACAGTCCAAAGACATGCAGTCAGGCCAACTGGACACATTAAGTTGCCCTTAGGTGTGATGTGAGGGTATATGTCAGTATGTCTGCCCTGCGATGGACTGGCGACCTGTCCGGGGTGTTTCCTGCCTTCCGCCCAATGACCGCTGGGATAGTATCTCTGATATTAAAGCACTAAAGGTCACAATAAGCTGTTCAGTTATAATGTGCACATAAAGCCTGCCGTAATTGCAGTATTCTGTTATATTTTTACATGGCAAACAAGTCAAGCAGGAGTGGAAAACTATATGTAAGTAGATGTACTGTCAAAAATCTTTCCCAGTTAAAAGTAGAAATATGGAGCTAAAAATATTCAAAATGCATCTGCATTTAAACAATGCACATAAAAGTAAACAATATATGTTTTAACAGATGAAATGTAAATATGTTTGCTTTTCCTTTTGACATTTAAAGTAACTTTATAATCTATAATATGCTTAGCTGGTATGCTCTTGTGGCTGAATGCAATCGAATCCTCACATCAGTGTTCTAACATCTAGTTCTAAAGCATTTACACACATTCCTTTGGGTTATTTAAAAGTCCCTGCCTGTTTCAGTGATGTTATGAAAGCTTTCAAATGCTGCAGGTGTCACTGACATTTGTTATTTTAAAGGATTTTCATCCAAGTAGGCAGCAAACAAGCAGTACGGGCAGACGATTCTGTCCATGAGTCTCTGAAACATAACCCTGCTCCTGAATAAAACAATTGGAAATGTAGACAATGAGATCTGCTGGTAACATAAATCCATTGTTGAGTCAAAGTGAGCAGCAAGCCTACCTGATTGAGCAGTTCATCAGTGCACAGCATTTGATAGGCATCAAATTTAGATACTGCATTGACTTTTCTGTTGTTGACACAGAACCGAACGGGCCTGTCCAGCTTAGGAACAAGCACCACAAGAATGCTCCAGTTGCTGAGACCTCTCGATTACCCACAGGAAAAGCAATACGGATTGCTGTGCACAACTATTCCCTGAGGGCTCTCAGTGTAGTGCAGTGCAGTGTGGTGCACAACTGAGTGCCCCTGTTAAACAGCCAGAATTGATGTTCCTGTAACAAATTCACCTGCATTAAGTATTCTGCCCTCACAAAGCGCTCCCCTCCTAAGCTAGGCAGGTAGAATATTTCTTCTAACTAGCTGTACTGGAACTGAATAAAACTGAAACAAATGAATTTTGGAGAACAGCAACTTTCTGAGTAAGAAGTGTCACAGATGTCAGGATTGGGGGAGGGATCAGGATCCGAGGATACAGGTACAACATAAGGGCATAGATTTTGCCTGGAAATAGTGACGCCTTCTTTGATGCATTTCAGTTCTTTAGCAAAGGCTACTTGTTGGAGACTGCAGATAACTATGTCTGGGGCCTACAGATCTACAGAGCAAGAACTGTCCTTGCTGTTTCCCTTAATGAATTGAGCCATGTGCACGAGTCTTTTGATACCACGTGTCAGCGACTGACAGCTTGAGAATCAGTCGAAGAGGTGTCCTTCACTGGGAACCTGTGTGGCACATGCAGTAACCAGTCTCTTTAGAGAGCCCCAAACTTCTCTGTATGGGTCGGAATTCAGCCCCAAGGTCAAGATCCTTCAGCCCTTCCACCAATTCTTTAGGAGAAAATTCTCTCATAACCTCCTCTTTGTTAGAAACTATTTTATGAAGTCTCAGATTTGAGAGTGCCAACATCTCTTGGGTATTTTGTAGAAGAGAGATGGCTTCTTCTTCAGTTGGGAGTAACAAAAGGCCATCGTTGACATAATTTCTCTCAACAAACTACCTCGACTTTTGTCTGTATTCTGTCTCCTCTCAAGAGCTGCTTTCCTGAGGCCATATGTAGCCACTGCAGGGGATGGACTATTGCCAAAGACATGTACCCGCATCCTGTCCTCCACTACTTTGGAGGACTCTTTCTCCATTACTCTCAGAAAGGCAAGATCCTCCATGGATGGTGCTGGTTTCTTGTCACTACTTATGCATTTACAGATTGATCCCTCAGAGCTTTTTCCATGCTGACGGACTCCCTTTGTGAGACAGAAGTCACACTCTTTGGTTGAAGGGGTTGAGCAAGTGTCTCCTTTTTGTGAATGCTGTTAGTGCAAGGGTACATAATGCTGGGTCACCCATTTTCCAATACATTCATTTTAAAGATGTTAAGTGTTGATATCCGATGTGCGCTGCCAAGGCAGACATCTAGTATCACCCACCCGAATGCTATCCTCTGTACAAACAGAGCACGTGGAGGCCCATTATGCTGCTCCACGACATTGTGCTCTTGGATAATGTCTCTTCCAAGCAGAAGCAGGATTTTAGCTTTAGGGTCAAACTGGGGCATCTTATCAGCTATGGAGTTCAAGTAAGATGGGCATCTTGCTGTGTCTGGGGTCGGTATCTCTGCTATGTTATCTGGGAGTATGTTACACTTGAGTGTTTGAAGCCTGAGAATGATTTTCCCATCAAGTGCCACTACTGCAAATTATGTTGCTCTTCGACCTTCTGACTCAGGCACACCTGTGTATGTTTTAAGTGTGTAAGGTGAGGCATCATCCTCTACTTAGTTCAAAAAAAAGCTGACCTAGCAACGGATGTGTTACTCTGATCATCCAGTATGCTATACATCCTTACATTCCTTTGGGATACACCTTTATGAGGCAGATCTTGGATCAAGACTTTCCCATTAATCCTTCTCCACAGACTTGTGTGCAGGCTGAGATTGCAACTGAAGAGACAGAAAATCCATCTTCCTCCCCACCATACTGTATAGAGAGCACAAGTCTTCTTTTTTAACACCAAAATGCAGGGCCAGCATGAAGTGCCAAGATATTCTTGTCACTATTGCATTCTGAACACTGGATGATTGCCTTACAGGCTTTTGCTTGATGAGCGGCTGGTGAGCAACAACAAAAGCATATGAAGTTTTCCCTGAGGAAGGTTTTTTGGTCCTCAAGGGGTTTCTCTCTAAGTCCGCTACACTTTCTTAAGGGATGCAGCTTTTTTTTATATTGGACACTGTTTATTAGGATCTTCCACTTTCTTGGGCTCATCATTCTGTAGGGTGTTATCCACTTCAGTTTTGTGCACCACAACTGGGGCTCCTGTTGCTCTTGAAGGAAGTCTCTGTCATTTAGGCTCTGTTTTGCTGAATGGTAAAGTGAGGAAACTGGCGCCATTCCTCATTCTTGTTTTATTACGGATGAAGCTCGAAAAGAATTAGAAAGGAGGAAAACTGACACGTGTTCCTGTTTATACCTGGTTCCTTGTGTCATCCACTTTTCCTAAATGCTGTATGGCAACTTCTCCAGAATAGGACTGATGCCATGCAAGGTATCCAGGTAGGCCAAACCAGGTAGGTAACTTTCAGGTTTGGCTGCCTTTAATTAATTAATCCATTGTTTGCTTACAGCACTACTATAATACAGCAAGCCACTGTGACTAATTGCCCAGGGAACCAGCTGAAAGCTACTGCAACTGCTGCAGTTACACTGCTCAAATATATTGGTGGTTGTAACAATATCCAACAAATATGGACAAAAACAATAAGTTAAATAAGGTACTAAAAGTGTACTTACAGACAATGCTTATACAAAACAATTACAAGAAGGATGGATGCAGATAGCCCTTGGAGGTGTGCAGCTAGACAATGTGCTTGTTTTCCTATAAAGCAAAGATGGCTTCCACACAGGTGAAGGGGAAATGAAATGATCAAAAGTATTTTTTGCTCAAATTGTGGCAAATGTCAATTTAACAGAGCACTTGTATGCCTACAAATATCCAACCAATAAACACCACATCACATTTTTGTGCACGGCTGCAATGTGAAAGCAGCTGAACCAAATGGAAAAAGTGTTGATAAGATAGCGTTGCAGAAAACTGGTGTGGACTAGCCAACAAGCTCGGTGTTTGCTGTGCCTTTTTAGTGCTGCAGTCCTGTTTTTAAACAAGAAAATGTCATTGTTTTTAGATTTTGCCCAGGCCTAGAATGCATGCACTGCTCACATTGCATAGGATTTAATAACAAAAAAACCCCTAAAATCTCACATACTGCAGTTTAAACGTACAGAGGTCAAAAACAAACCTAGTTTACTATGCTTCTGTGTGTTGAGAATATGATTTATGTGGGTCCTATGAAGTCAAAAATGGCAAAGATGCAATACTGAACAGCAGTGTGATAAAAGTGTGATAGAATATCCCAGAGCTGAACAAATACATAAAACCCCAGGCCAAAAATGACCAGAATAGGCTTTGTGTAGACGTGAAAATAGTACACCCGTTACGGTCATAGTCTATGTGGACAAAATAATAATAATAATAATAATAATAATTATTATTATTATTATTATTATTATTACTATTACTATTATTATAAAAATCAAAATAATCTTATATTGCTTTGTGTTTTAAGTATGCAGAAAAAAAAACAAGTATTACTCATTTAGTTGAATTGTTTTCCAACTTTCTTGAACTCTAGAGATGAGGACTGTTATGTTTAATGTCATGTTATTGTCATCCAATTTTGGCTGCTTTTGTCATCACCACAAGGGAAAAGAGGCAACAAAAACAGAGCTAAAACAGAGTATAAAAGTAACTGTCTTAAATGGAGACATCTAAAAGGTTACAACTCTTTCTATCATATTTGCAAACATGTCTATAGTACTATTTATATTAAATTCAATTCAGTTTATGTTCAAAAAATAATTATAAAATATTAAAAAAAAAATTTGGTACCATAAAATTAGCAGTTGTAATTGTATAAATATATATTTCTCTTTGATAAAACAGGTTAATGATAGAATTCGTCAAAAAAAAAGATTCAGTTACAATGAACTCAAGCCGGGATCCATTTGAAGATGCTTTTATGAAGAACTTAGTTGCAGTTGGGTTGGGTGTCATCATAACCTACATCAATGGAATCTTTGTGATTGTCTTTTTTAAAAATCCAGTTTTCTACACTGACACAAGATACATTCTGTACATTCACCTTGTCATCAATGACATAATTATGCTCTGCCTTTCAGTTACTTTGTATGTTCTGAGTTATGCACTACCCTTTTTGAATGTCGCAGTGTGCAGTGCTTTGCTTTTGTTTACTGCAACAACTTCAGAAAACACTCCACTGAATCTAGCTGCAATGGCCTTGGAACGCTACATTGCCATCTGCAAACCTCTGCATCACCATCGGCTTTGCTCAGTGAAAAGGACCTACATTCTCATTGGCTTGATATGGCTTCTGACCTTTGTTCCTGCACTAACTGATATCTTCATTGTCTTGGTGAATGAACCCATCAGTATTTTTTCAACGTCAGTTATTTGCTATAGCAAGAATGTTTTTGGCACAAATCAGCACCTCATTAGAACAATCATTGTAGAGTCACTTTATTTATCATGTGTGTGGATGACGCTGATCTTTACGTACTTCAGGGTTTTTCAGGCAGCTAAAGCTGCAACCTCTGATCAGGTTTCTGCCAGAAAAGCCCGGAACACTATTTTGCTCCATGGCCTGCAGCTTCTTCTCTGCATGCTCGCTTATGTTACCCCACTTATAAACTATTTTTTCTTAGCATTGTTTCCTAAATATAGAACCTTATTTATGTATTTTGGCTATCTAGTATCCAATGTTATTCCAAGGCTACTCAGTCCTCTTATATATGGAATCCGAGATCAAAAGATGTTTAGATATGTCAGAATGTATTTAATGTGTGGTTTATTCAATACAAAGGTTATTACAAAAACTAATGAAACTTAGATTAAGAGTAGTTTTACAACACCAATCCAAACAATCTCAGTGTAGAAGCAAGGCCTGATCATTTGCACCTTAAGAATAAGTGTTGATATGAATGTAGCCACGTGAAGTCTAGGTTTTCTACACCTTTTTTTTTTTTATTTTTTGTTATATGATATTCTACCAGATTTAGCCTAGCCAAAACATTACACAACACTGCTCATTAATACTACACACTGCAAGATCAATTTATGTGCACTTAATTTCTACAACTTTTTCTTCTTTGCTCCAGCATGGGATGTTTTGTTAAGTGCTCTGGTGTGTCAGCAGCCTAATTGCAGAAAAGAAAAAAGCTCAAAGTGCCTAGAGAATTGCATGCAGACCATTAATTGGTCAAATGTACTCACAGACCCGCCATGCATTCTAACTTGCCAGTCAGAATTTGTCTTTGACTGTAAAATTAAATGCCAAGTAAAAGGTAAATCAGACCTTAAAGCTCCTCCACTTTTGCTGCTATTGTTTATTACTGTTTACACTAACATTGCATGGGAAATCATGTCACCATCACCTCCTCCTAGACAACCTGGCATACTTTCACAGCTATTATTGTATGATGAGAACAAGACATGGGTATTCAGAGTTTGGATAGTTCTGAGTTCAGTTTAATAACTGTACTGTGAGGTACTACACTGTTCAATTGAAAAGCACTATTAGTGATGCTGAAGTATATAAAACTATGCAAAATGGACAAAGGACAGTCATTACTTTCATCATTAAATTTGCTTTTATACCCATGATTAAGTTTGTATTAGGTTTTAATATACAGTGTTGTAAAGAGTAATGAAATGGGATTAACAGTAAATGGGCCAAGAGCTGCTTAAAGTAGTTGCTTCACTTTGTAAAGCTTCATAAAAGATCTCCAAACAGATTTCATTCTAACTCATGCTCTTTCCGTTGACTCCAAGATCTTATGAAGGTGCAATGTGTGAAATCATGGAGCCAAAGAAAGAAGTGAAAGTAGAACCAGTATCTTCATTAAAACTGCAACGGGGGACTCAACCCAGGACAGAATCAAACCCAGGCTTCTGGGTATGAAAAAATAAGAATTAACTGGTCAAGCCCCTCAGCAAGTGCTATGAATGGACTCAAGTGCAGAGTGACATAGTACTAGAAGGAACTGCCTAAACTAAGAACAAACTCAAAATTGATTAGAAACAGAACCTTAGACTAGCCCCACCAGGGGTGAGAACTAGCGCTTCTGTAGTGATAGGCTTAGGAGTTTCCAGTGAGTTACTGCTCACTCCCAAAAGAAAGCAAAAGTGAGAAGGAAGCCATCAACAATAGCCCCAAGATTAAAAAGGAAATGAAGAGAGACAAAATAAAATGATATTTATTTATTTCATTATTTTTTTTCCAAATACTTGTACTGACATAAAGTATGACTCATAGAACTAGGCTTCAGAAGGCTTTGAGACAACTCAGGGGAAGAATTACCCAAATTACCAGTTTAATCAGGAGATACATGCACATCAACCCAAAAGCATTGAGCAGAGTGAGATCTCCCTTTAAAGTAGACTGGCCACAGGTGATGCCGCTTGCCCTGATTGTTGGGGAGGAGCTCTCTGCCTCCATCTGGTGGCTGCAGAATGTCTCACAGATGACCCATATGTAAGATGACACAACCTGTCAAATTCACACGCCACACAGTCCCTCCTCTTCCCTCATCACTCCTCCCCTTGTTTACTTGTCAGTCTAAAAGAAACTTTGCGTTCAACATCACTGAAGTTCAGCATCAAACTTCATCCCTTAGATAGCTCTGCAACATGGTAAATAGATGTCTTTGACATAACATCAAAACTTTTATTTCTTTATATTCTATTGATAATCTTAGTTAATGTTGGAATGTTTTAAACTAAAAATCTTACTAATTGCTCCTTCAAACAATCAGTCTTAGGGAAATTATATAATTAAGAAATAAAATTGCAGAGGAACCCTAAGCATGTGTTTTTTTTCATCACAACGACTCACACAAGTGCCTTGTTGTTCAGTCAGAAAATGTATCCTTCGCTAGTGCAAATAGGCTAGAATTTAAAGCAGTTGTCACCAGTCCTCCTACCGGAGAGCTACTGTCCTGCAAGTTTCACCATTGACCCAAATCGATCACATTCCATTCAGCTGATCGAGGACTTCTGAAGGCAATATTTAGATAGTTCAGGTGGGTTCAGAGATTTATCACTCTACCCCTGGAGGTGGTTCTGAAACCTGGAGGGGGAGTCAGTGGGGCAGTATGCATTGGTTCGTTTGCTGTTGTGAAGGTACAAGCTGCAAGTGATGATTGCAGCAGAGGACAAAGTCATTCTGTGTCTGTACTAGGTATGACCCTGTCTCCATGAATCTGCAACAGGGCAGCCCCCAGTCCATAACTGCTAGCATCAGCAGACTTAAATCTGTGCTTCGTCACATCATAGTAGGCCAATACTGGGGCTGAGGATAGTATTGTCATTGTCATAGCATTTACTCAGCTGAATGCCTGCTGTTGTGGGGTGTCCCACACCTATGCAGAGTCTTTCTTCAGTAGATCAGTCAGTGCTCTGAGCTCATGGAGAGGCCTGGCAAAAATCGTCCCTGGTAATTTACCATGCCAAGCACTTGTTTTAGCTGGGAGGTATCTTTGGGCATGACATGTCTGCAGCTACCTTGTCAGGGTCTGGTTTAATAATGTTTTTACTAATAACATGTCCAAAGAATTGGAGGTCACTTTCACTAAAGTGATGTTTATCTCTGTTGAGCTTCACCTCTGAGTCTTGGCTGTAAGACAGCTTTCAGGTTCTCCTCGTGTGCACCTTGGTTTTTTCCATATACTAGAAAGTCATCCATTACCACCACAGTGCTCTCATGACTCTTTAGCAGGTTGCTCATTTCCCTTTGGGATATCTCAGGCGCAGAGGTAGCTCCAAATGGCAGCCACTGGAAACGGCCTTTTCGAGTGATAAACATGGTCAAAGTTGCACTCTTGGGATCTAATTGGGATTTGCTAGAATCCCAAAGAAACATCAAGAGTGGAGAACATACTTGATCCAGCCAGCTTTGGAGCTATGTCCTTTAGCATAGGTAGCATGAACTTCTCCCTCTTGACAGCCTTGTTGAGGTGGTTTTGGTCCATGTAAATTCTTATTTTTCCATGTTACTTTGTGACTGGAACTCCTGGAGCGCAACAGTCATGAGTTCAGTGACCTCATGTATGATTCCCATGGACTGCACACTCTGCAACTCCTCGTCCACCTTTTGCATCAGTGGAAACAGCATATCTCTATATTGAGCTTTATTTCTATGTTAACTGGTGTGCAGCTCAGACGGCCTATTTCACCAAACACTTGGGCTTTGACCTGGTCTGCTTTAGCTACTAAGCCCATGTTGTACTTCTACTCAGTATGTTCTGAGTATGTTGCCCATCTACCATAAAAATCTCATTTTTGTAGCAGGCTCTTTTTCTTTCTGTCTTAGCCAAGAATTTCCCCATTATTTTCACTGATCCACTTGGACTTTTAAAAATTATTGATGTTTTTGCCAGCAAAAGGCGCTGTGGAAGAGCCAGGTAAGCACTGTGAGACAAAATCATATCAGCTTTAGTGTCTATTTTAAAGCTAACTGTTTAACGATATACTAGAAGATGCACCTGTCATTCAGTATCTGGATGAGCCCCCTCCACACTGCCAAGACAGTAATATTTAATAGTAATAGTTATTCTACTGGCTGTCCTGCACAGCTACTGCTGTCACTGCTTTGCTTTTCCATGCAACAGCAGAATGTCTTATTGTTTTGCATGTACAACACTTTTTGTTGATTGCAGGGCATTCGCATGGACCGTATGATCTACTGATCACATGAGCAGGACCTTTTCACTGTTTTTTGTCTCTCTGTGCTTCCCACAAGATTCTTAACATACTCTGTGTTGGAAACAGACTGCTACCTGGGCCAAGCAGCAGCTTTACCCCACACCCTCTTCAAATGGTTATATACCATTTTCTCTCCAAGTTTTTCTCACTGTAAATAAATTGCACCTTGTTTGATGAGATCTTTTGACTTTGTATGTATGTGTAAGGTCCACTTTACCTCATCCTTCTTACAGGTGGAGACTGCAGGTATGAATACACCTCTGGTGGTCACACATTTTCTTCCTTTTTTCTCTCTTATACTAAAGGGAAGGGTTTTTTGTCATTGTTTTTTCCTTACATTTTCCCAAGAAGTCAGTCAGAGTCAGATGGTGTTATGAATGCTGCTCTTTATCTGTCTGACTTTAGGAAGATGAAGAATCTCTTTCAACAGAATCTCTTATGAGTGTGGCATAAAGATTGGTTAGTGGGGCACTATGACACTTAATGACCTCCTAATGTAAAGCCTGCTTCAAAACAATCCTCTCAGGTTTTCTGCAGCTACTACGTCTGTATGGATAAATGGATAAACAGAAAAATAATGTTGCACATTGTTGTTACATCTGATGTGACCAGTCACATTTTGGCATTAACGTCACAAGTTGCACAAATTAAATAACTATAAAATAAACCATCATGTTTGCCATGGGTGTGGCCCCAGGTGGGGTTCCTATGCAATTTGCATAATTTGTGCATTGGAAGATTTCTTGAATTTGTGTCACAGCTCTAATAGACCATTTTCACACTTCTGTGTTTGTTTATGCGGAAGAGTAAATAATAGCGTTAAACGGCTTCCGGTCGCGCTGTAAACAATGGCTGATACTGCCCGAAATCATTGCTGCGTTCCTAATGCACCAATAATTCAGCTAAACAGCTTCACCTGAGTTTCCACTCGATCAAGTTTAAAAATGTTCAGCTTCAGCTAGGGCTGGGCGATAAAACGATAACGATAATTATCGCGATATAACTTTTCCTCGATAGAGCGATACGACATGTTTGATAAATGTTAGATATAATACACCATTCTCACACTTTCACGTTCAGCGAAAGCCTTGGTGGGGTTTTCTACTGCAAGGAAAGCGACACTACTCTGCTGTTGCCAGGAGAGGGCGCACTTCCGAGTTTTTCTACGTGATTAGAGAGGGAGGGGGCCACGAGTAAGATGAGTCTTTAGCAACGGCTGAAACACGGAGTTACACATTCCCTGTTTGAGCGGAGCGACAGGCGATCTGTTCTCCTGTGACCGAGTGTGAGTGACGAGGTCAGTGGTAACTGTACTGTCCTACAGTGAACTCACCTCTTTCTGTACATCCTAACCAGCTTTAGCAGCGTTAAATCACAATCACAATCCTCACAACTACAGCACTGTTACAGTGCTCGGACAGTCATATTTAAGTATGAGTGCATTCCCAAGCAACGAAAGTGAAAGAAAGAAGTGGGTTCATGCAGTTACGACCCTGATGTAAACAAAAGTAAACTGAGGAAGCTGTGAGGCATTGGAAAGCGGGAGAGCACTAGCTTTCCAGGCTAGCCGTTTTTAGCAGCTGGCTAACTTAAAGCAGCGCTTCGTCACTGCACAACACGGCGAATTAATGATACTGTTGATCAAACACGACACAAAAGCACCGCTTTCAGTTTAAACGTTCCTAAAAGGAGGACTGTCTATTGTTGATATTTTGCGGTTCACCCCTTAAACTACTACAATTGAATATCCAGTCGTCGCCAGCTGGTGTCTGAATGCTGTGATGTCGTTTGTAACGGGGTAGGCGAGCGCTCGTCACCAGCTAAAAATAATCTGTTTTCTTTCTTAAATTATGACTATTACAAAATAGCCATGCTTTGCCAGGTGGTAAAAACAGCTCACCAGACACTTTCTCCCATTCTCCCATGACAGATTTGTGAAATGTTCCACTGTTTGGCAAGTGTTTGTTGTGTTCAGACCATAAAGGATAGTTTAAAACAGCAATTAACCACCCAGGAGCAAAAATCAGCCTTCAAACTTGAAAGAAATAATGATTTGACATTTATCGCGATATGTATCGATATCGAACAATATACATTTTGTTTATCGTGATAACATTTTTGGCCATATCGCCCAGCTCTAGCTTCAGCTGAAAAAGCTCCGCTCATCATGCATCACTTTTAACGAGGTAGCCGATCAAAAAAAGAGTGAAACTGAGCTGTAGAGTGAATACGGGCTGTACAGGACATATTTACTCACATTTGTGTTTAAGATCCTGGTGATGGTCGTCACAGAGGTTTGATTAAACACCCTGAGAGACTCCTCTCCACTGTAGATTGGTGATTAGTTTACTTTAATGTAGAAATACAGTGCTGTGTCTCTGAGCTGGTTATGGTGTTCAGGGCATTTGCTAATCAAGTCAAGTCAAATTTATTTGTATAGCGCTTTTTACAACTGATGTTGTCACAAAGCAGCTTCGCAGAAATCCATTAAGGACAAAGGACTGATGTTGCTAATGTTTACATGGACCGAGTAGGAAAAACTAAACCTGGTGGACTTTTTCTCCAACATAAAGCGCAGTGAGTGCAGATCAGTTTAGGGATGTGTGATGTGGTGTTGAACATAATAATCCGCTCCACTCCTTCTCCGCTTAGCAAAACCCGTCTCAGGCAAATTCCTCACAGTTCAGACACAGATTTTTGCGGAATACATACGGACTTACCCGAGCAGTGGTAAAAACAGCCCACAGGGGCAGACGCGCAGATTCATACAGAGATCAAATGTTTGTGAGTTTTTGAGCTTTAGCCACATCAGATTAGCCTTTCTGCTCATGTTAGAGGGAACTACCAGACATGCAAACTGCTCTTCTATTAACCGAGCTGAGGCCGAAGGACGATTTTTGAGGGACAATTTTTGCTAAAAACCGGAGACCCTCTACAGCCGCTCTGTTAAACGGTGCAGGCGGAAGGCACCCTGATGTGTGACATCACTGGAATGGAAAGTGGCCTGGCACTCTGGCTGTTGAACACATTTTCCTACTTAACCTCAATTTCCCCTGGTGAAAGGTGAGAGAGTAGAATTATCAATTTAGTTATTGTATTTTGAAGACAACCTTGGCTGTTCACAGTGTATGCATGTCTTCACATGTCAGAAATGCTTTTTGGCAAATTCTTTCACAATTTCTTTCCACTGTTCCTGTTTCATCTGTCCCTATATTGGTTGTGCCAGGAATATCCAAGTTTATGATATCAGAAAAAAAAAATCTGGTTTCAAGTTAAATTACTTATTACTACTAGGCTTGGTGATTATTGCACACTGCTGACACATTTTCATCATGGTCCATGGTCATGGTCATGGTCCATGGACCAGCGCAACACACACTAACACACCACCACCACATCAGTGTTACTGCAGTGCTAAGAATGATCCACCACCCAAATAGTACCTGCTCTGTGAGGGTCCATGGGGGTCCTGACCACTGAAGAACAGGGTAAAAGGGGGCTAACAAAGTATGCAGTGCAAACTACAAAGTGCACCTATATAGTATGTGGAGCTGATAAAATGGACAATGAGCGTAGAAACAAGGTGGTCATTATGCCTGATCGGTGTATGTGTGTCATATGTAATCAAAATGACAGTTTAGAAATAGTATTGGTAAGGTTGCAATACTGAACAGCAGTGTAAAAACAGACTGTGAACCTCCAGGGAATAGTATGTGAATAAATAAATAATTCATAAAACATTTAAAACAGTAAAAAAAGCTTCTTGCTTCTCGAAGATTGTGGTCATGTTATTGACGTCTATCTTTGGCTGCTTTTGTCATCACCACAAGGGAGAAGCAGGCAACAGAGCTAAAGCAGAGTATAAAAGTAGCAGCTTAACATAGTCATAACTGAAGGAAGCATCTAAAGGTTATGATTGTAATGCTTTCTATTATATAATTTACAATTTCTGTAGTGGTAAGTATAAGATGATGTGAGGAATTTTTGCTCATACTCTAAGGTGATTATTTACCTAGAACATATTTCTTGTACCATAAAAAAAGCTCTTGTAATTGTATTAAGTATGTTTCTGTTTGATTAAACAGGTTAATGAGAGAATTCATCCAAAGGTTGTTTCAGTGAGAATGAACTCAAGCCGGGATCCTTTTGAAGATGCTTTTATGAAGAACTTTGTTGCTGTTGGGTTGGGTGTCATCATAACCTACATCAATGGAATGTTTGTGATTGCCTTTTTTAAAAATCCAGTTTTCTACACTGACACAAGATACATTCTGTACATTCACCTTGTCATCAATGACATAATTATGCTCTTCCTTTCAGTTACTCTGCATGTTCTGAGTTATGCACTACCCTTTTTGAATGTCACAGTCTGCAGTTTTCTGCTTCTGTTCGCCACAACAACTGCAGAAAACACTCCACTGAATCTAGCCGGAATGGCCTTGGAACGCTACATTGCCATCTGCAAACCACTGCATTACCCTCAGCTTTGTTCAGTGAACAGGACCTACATCCTCATCGGTCTGATATGGATTCTAACTTTTATTCCTGCACTGACTGATATCTTCATTGTCTTGGTGAATGAACCCATCAGTATTTTTTCAACATCCATTATTTGCTACAGCAAGAGTCTTTTCAGCACAAATCAGCACTTCATGAGAGCAATCCTTATTGATGCGCTTTATTTATCATGCGTGTGGATGACGCTGATCTTCACATACTTGAAGATTCTTCAGGCAGCTAAAGCTGCAACGTCTGATCAGGTTTCAGCCAAAAAAGCCCGGAACACTATTTTGCTCCACGGTGTGCAGCTCCTTTTCTGCATGCTCTCTTATATTATCCCACTTCTAAATTATTTTTTCTTTGCATTGTTCCCTAGACATAGAACCATATTTATGTATTTAGGCTATCTAGTAACCAATGTTATTCCAAGGTTACTCAGTCCTCTTATATATGGAGTCCGAGATCAAAAAATGTACAGATGTGTCAGAATGTATTTTACATGTAGTTTATTTAATACAAAAGTTAAACCTAAAGCTAATGAAATATAATTCAAGACTAGTTTTACAATGCCAAGCCAAAGAATTTTAATGCAAAGGCAAGGCCAGATCATCCTGACCCTCATGGCTGCAATGGCTGGATGCCAAGGGACAGCCCAGTGTCCGAGAGGGCACCATAAAACCAGCAGCTGGCCTCACAGCACCACCTAGTGCCCCAGAGGGCAGTGTCAATCTGAAACCAGGTCCCATAATGCTACCCAGTGTCCTGGAGGGAGCTGTCAAACTGACAATTCCCACAGCACCACCTGGTGTCCTGAAGGGCATCAACAATTTGGTACATGGCTCCACAGCACCACTAAATGTCCTGGAGATCACCTACAAGCCAGAACCTGGCCCCACAGTGCCACCTAGTGTCCTAGAAAGTACAAGCAAGCCACTACCAGACTTGTCTAGTGCCTAACCCTGCAGCACCAGAGATTGTCGTTGAGCTGGCATTTGATTGCACAACACTGCACACAGCAGTGCCACCTCCTAGGTCTTCCTTCTCAGTTTGGGACCAGACCTCACCTATGGTTCAACCCTTGTGGCTTAAGAGCCTGAGACAGATTTTTGGACACAACCTTTGTGCCAGAACAGGCTAGTACCTAAGGCCTTTTTTCCACTGTGGAGCCAAATGGTCCCCAGGGCCGTACAGTGCCATTCTTATGACACCAGTTGCAGTTTCTTTTTCCATCTGCTGTACTGCCAGGAAATACAGGAGGAAACTACACAAAAGTGTGGCTAACTAATAGCTAACTCCTAATACCTACACACAGACACTTAGAAATGGTTAGATTAGAGCTTTGACATTTATTGAGTGGTGGATTTAAAAATGTGTGCTGCTTCCATTTATTTGGCATTTGTGCAAGTGATCTAAACTCATTTGATTGTTTTCAGATTTGAAATAATGTACAATGTGGTGACACAATACTGGCATAAATATAGAACCAATCAGCAAATGCCTACGTCATTACATCGTCTCACAGAACAGTTCTGTAGCCCTGAACACAGTTAGTTAATTATGTCAAGAAAACCACACTAAGCAGTTTTTAAGCATTCAATGTCAAATCATGTCTGTATGGAAATGCCACTGGAATGGTTACCCTCCATGCTCAGAACCATTTGGCCCTGCAGTTGAAAAGAGGCTTGACTTTAATATGGATTTCTTATGTATATAAATAAATTTCTGCTTTTTATACTTGTGCTGGCCTTGTGCGTGTGTTGTATGGTCCTTGTTTGGTTTCCTAGCCAGTGTGACTTGGTCTTTCCCCAGGTTGATGTCACAACTGACAGACTTGGTTATTGACCTTTTTCTGTCTTTCTGTTACTGAACACAATTACTGTTCTGCATAATTTCTAGACAACTCTGTATACCATGGGGAGAAGAGCCAAGCTATACTGGGCATGTATATGTCATTTGTATGGATAGTTCTTGTCTGCACCTATTGCAGTGTGATAGTTACAGGTAGAAAGATGACAACTGACAGAGACAAACTTTAAAGCACAGTTTTGTTGCATGCAGGGCATTTATTGCTTTGCATGTTTTCCTACATCTTTCCTGTGCTCAAGACTATTCTTATGGTTATTATGCCCACTCACTACAAAAATATAGGGCCTAGTTCTGCTAACAAAATTTCTACCACTGCTGTTAAATCCCCCTTATTTATTCAAGATCAGATATTCATTAAAACAACAATAATAATAATAATAATAAAGGAGAACATTAATTGTAAAATTTGATAAGGCAAGCAATGACTGCAATAAAATTAAATTAAGCCCCCGTCAGCATCCAAGTGCCAAGGACTGACACACAATTTAAGGCCTACTACACCCTAGTGGTGGAACGCAATATATGTAAAATGATGATAAGGTAGGTATCTTTACTGAAATCTATTCCATGGATCCTGGCTAAATTAAACAACATGGACCTTGAAGCTTAAGGTAAGCACTTGGACAGGGCCTTTGAGCTCTCTTAAGCAAACTGTTTTCCAAGAGAAGTTGTTAATAGGTCTATCGGGCCGATACCTGGTATAAAATGTGCTTGAATGGTGTTACACATCATTTGCATGATTGTGATGAGACCATTTGGGAGAAGAGTACTTTCAGTATATTCAGAAAATATAAATATACAGGATATATAAATCTAAATATAAAGGATTGTGACACAAAATATATACAGATTCATTTTTTTATGAAATGTTACAGTGGAAGATGTCATAAGAGAGGTCAGAGAATATTTAGGCCAATCCATAGTTGCCAAGCTGATTTTAGTCCTAAAATAAGATGCCAGGGAAGGATAATGGAGTTTTTATCAACAAAAGCTAAATTATTAATGTTGCAAACAATACAAAGCTGTTATAAGACATCTATCTATAAACATACACCAATCAGGCATAACATTATGACCATAATGTTTCCAAGCTCATTGTCCATTTTATCAGCTCCACTTACTATATAGGTGCACTTTGTAGCTCTACAATTACAGACTGTAGTCCATCTGTTTCTCTGCATACTTTGTTAGCCCCCTTTTACCCTGTTCTTCAGTGGTCAGGACGGCCATGGACCCTCACAGAGCAGGTACTATTTGGGTGGTGGATCATTCTCAGCACTGCAGTAACACTGACGTGGTGGTGGTGTGTTAGTGTGTGTTGTGCTGGTACGAGTGGATCAGACACAGCAGTGCTGCTGGAGTTTTTAAACACTGTCCACTCTATTAGACACTCCTACCTTGTCAGTCCACCTTGTAGATGTAAAGTCAGAGACGATAGCTCATCTGCTGCTGCACAGTTTGTGTTGGTCATCCTCTAGTCCTTCATCAGTGGTCACAGGACGCTGCCCTCAGGACACTGTTGGCTGGATATTTTTGGTTGATGGACTATTCTCAGTCCAGCAGCGACACTGAGGTGTTTAAAAATTCCAGCAGAACTGCTGTGTCTGATCCACTCAGACCAGTGCAACACACACTAACACACCACCACCACATCAGTGTTACTGCAGTGCTGAGTAGCACTCAACAGCTTTTGGAAGGTTGCTGTTGTGATATACATAATTTTCATTTAATGACAAAAGTAGTTTTCAGAGAAACTAAAAGCTATTAATAATATAATAAAACTAAATGACTAGGCTTATCACATTACTGTGCAGCACCAAAGAACATATATTGACTGTATTAATCAGCTTACAGATGAAGTTTACTGTTATGGTTCTGTCTTACACACCTCTGTATTCCCCTGATGTTGATACATTATAAAACAGCAGTGATCAGAACAAATCCAGCAGTTGAGCTCTTCTCTGTAACAGCTATTCTCAGTGGCTAAAGAAATGTAAGAGATCTGGTATTGGACTGCAAACTTGACACCAACCTGTTTATAATAAGGTATAAACATACATATTCCAACCGTAATACTGAATATAATATTAATAAGTCTTTTACAGGTACCTAGCTACTGGGAATACATTTAGGCACTATGGTGTGGAAATTTTAATGATGTCTTACATTCTGGCTTAAATTATATTAATGTGAATATATCTTTTATTTTTATGATATATGTTTATGCCTGTTTTTATTAATTGTTCTCTTAAGAAATATTGTTTTCTTTAGGTCATTGTCAGAGAGAAACAGAAAACAGAGCAATGAATGTGACAGCAGATCAATTTAGAACCACGGACACTTACCAGGAAGCTTTTGCAAAAAACATTGTTATTGTCTCTCTTGCTCTAATCATTAATGGCATAAATGGAATGTTGGTGGTCATATTTGTCCGCAACCCTGTATTTCACAAAGACCCTAGATATATTTTATACATTAACCTTGTCATCAATGACATTCTCATGATTTGCATATCAGTTACTTTGTATGTTTTGACTTATGCATGGCCTTACGTGAACGTTTCTTTTTGTTGCCTGCTAATGGCAATAGGTTCAACTACTTATATGAACACTCCTGTGATTTTGGCTGGCATGGCAATAGAACGTTACATTGCTGTCTGTAAACCATTGCATCACTCTCAGATCTGCACACTGAATAGGACCTACATCCTCATTTGTGTGATATGGGGTATTGGAGCTATTCCTGCAGTAATTGATGTTATTATTGTCATTGCATTGCAACCCAGTTCTTATTTTAACTCTCTTACCTACTGCCAGCCAATTATTGTATACAACTCAAAGTATCATATGCAAAAGACCATTGGTGCACAGACCATTTACATGTCTATTGTGTGGATAACCCTGTTCTATACTTACTTCAGAGTTCTTTTTACAGCCAAAGTAGCCTCATCTGTCCATCATCAAAGTTCAGCTAAAAAGGCGCGCAATACAATCCTGTTACATGGTGGTCAGTTACTTCTCTGCATGTTGTCTTACGTAACCCCTGTATTGGATCTGATGCTTATTCCATTTTTCCCATCTCATCGAACTAAAATCACCTTCTTTAATTATCTGCTCACAAACATTGTGCCAAGACTCCTGAGTCCTTTGATTTATGGAGTTCGAGACCAGAAATTTGTGAGTCATATCAAACGCTATTTTTCTTGTGAACTGGTTATTGTAAAGGTTGCACCTTAGTCTGTGTGACTGCTAGATTTGGATGGAAATGAAGTACTTAAACACATATTTACAGTGTGTAATATATTTAAAGGCAGATTTTCATGAATCTCTCAGGAAAGCTTTTTTATATTTAAGAGATACTCAATCATCATAGCCACATGGCCATTCTTAAAGCATATTTCTTAATAATAACAGACTAATAGCTCAATGTATAATGTCTTTAGATCTAGATCTAAATTATAGATCTAAATAATTTACAAATAGAAGTGTAGCAATTCAAAGTTTGCACAAATACACTGTATGTTTTTATTCTCCACAAGTGGGCGAGTGCATATGTGGTATTCACTAAGAGATTGGTACAGGCCTGTATCTGTGCCAAGGCACATTAAAGCTATTCTGGCAGTTCATGGTGGCCCAACACCTTACTTGACACTTTGTAGATTTTTTTCTATAATTTGTCACCT